ATTCAGAAAGACAAGTGATGAACCGGGGCAACGATTTTAAATTGGTACTACAAAAGGGCTCCTTTCCCTCTTGTATATGACGCTCTTAGGAATCAATAAATTTATAAATATGTATATAGAAACATGAGCAAAGCATGTGGTTGGATGGACAGTTCGTAGGAAATTCGATGTTTCTTAAGTATATGAGCTGTTCAACTACGCCGTAATAAGAGAAACAAAGTCACCGTGAGATCATTTTTATTAGATTAGCAAAGATTTTTTAAAAGTTTAATACAGCCTGGACAACATAGCCAGACCCTGTCTCTAAAAACCTTAGCTGGGCTCAGTGGCACGTGCCTATAGTCTCAGCTACTCAGGAGGCTGGGGCAGGAGGGTCACTTGATTCTCACAGTTTGAGGCTGCAGTGAGCTGTGATCTTGCCACTGCACTCCAGCCTGAGCAACAAAACCAGCGAGACCTTGCCTCAAAAAAAAGTTTGAATTTTGAAGAAACTAGAGAAACAAGCTCTCTCCTCCTTTGCTGGTAGGAGAATAAATTAGTATAGCTTCCATTCAGATAATTTGTGGATATCCATAAAAATTCTAAATGCACATAGCCTTTGACCCACATGCAGGATTGATGCCAGAGACAGACTTGCTTTCGTGAATGTTAGATGTATAAGGTTAGTCATAACCACGTGCCATCCCATGGGAAGTGTTGCACCTGGGCACATCCGTAGGGTGCAGGCTGGGCAGCCAGAGACAGAGTAGGCAAGTGTTGCTCTGTTAAGCCTGGGTTCTCTGCCTGGCTCAGCATTCTGCAGTGGCTTCTGTGTTGCCCTATGCTAGGCCGTCGCATGGCTCCCCAGACCTTTCTGGAGCCTCCCCCACGTCCGCCGTCTCCCTGCTTGTCACCACCTGGGACATCACGCCCCCCTCCAGCCTCCTGTCCCTCAAGCCTGTTCCCAAGGCCTTCTGCACTCCATCTTCAAACTCTTCCCAGGTTTTCCACAACCTCTGTATTCAGGTCTCCGCCCAGCTCCAATCCCACTGCCACCACGACAGCTAATGGACACTCCCTCTACACACACCGCTGGTGACATCACTCACAGTTCCAAAATGGCCAGATGACTGGTTCTCTGGGGCTCAGCACATGAAATAGTCCTCAGTATATGTGAATAAAAGGTTGTTTAAAGAAAAAAGCGATAGGTCGAAGGCAAGTGGAATAACTGAAAGTAAACAAAAGACTTCACCCACCCTAAGCCGTTTCTCCTAATTCTACATACAGCCCAGGGCTGGAATTCACTTACATGATAATCATCAGGTCTTTAAGAGGATTCTCAATGTGTCCACTATAATCCTTCAGTACAGTCTAGAAATGATACCTCTTAAGGCAGATTCATCTCCAAAATTTTAATGTTAAAAAAAAAAGGTTTGTTGCTTAAGGTGTCAAATTTTCATTATTAACAACTAATTCGGCCAGGCAGGGTGGCTCATGCCAGTAATCCCAGCACTTTGGGAGGCTGAGGTGGGCAGATCACCTGAGGTCAGGAGTTCAAGACCAGCCTGGCCAACATGCTGACACCCCGTCTCTAGTAGAAATACAAATATTAGGCGTGGTGGTGGGCACTTGTCATCCCAGCTATTCAAGGATGCTGAAACAGTAGAATCACTTGAGCCTGAGAGGTGGAGGCTGCAGTGAGCCGAGGTCATGCCACTGCACTCCAGCCCCTGGGCAACAGAGCGAGACTCTGTCTCAAAAAAAAAGAAAGACAAAAACAAATGCAACATACAACTTTGAATAATGGGCAGGAAAAAATAGAAAAACATCTATAAAGGTTGTTATTGGGGAAAACGGGACATCTGAACATGAACTATGATACTGGATACACATCCACTCACACACCCACAAATTAGGGGATGGCATCTCGACTATTTAGTAGACGTTTATTATAGGAGTATGTAGGTTTTCCAGAGTGCTGTTATGTGACTTGAGCCTGGGCCCTGCCTCTGACCTCGATTTCTCCCAGTTCCAGGGAAGGAGACCAGCTTTTTCCTCATGATCTTTTAAATCTTTTAAAGATTTAAATCTTTAAATCTTAAATCTTTAAATATTTTAAAGACGTAGGGTTCCTGCTTTTAGAAGATTCCACTCTGAGGCTGAAGGTGCCAAAAGCTGCTTGAGAAGTGGCCTTTGAACTCCGCCTGGGACGACGGTGAGGAGAAGGAAGCAGGAGAAATCATTCTTGGTTTAACAACAACAACAAAAAAAGTCCCACAATCTAAAGGTCATTCCTTGCTCCATCAGTGATCAAACTGCCCAAAAGAAAAACATGAGAAACAAGGCAGAGGCCCTGGGCATTCCTGCTGGGCGGGCGAGAAGGGTGGGACCCCTGAGCTTTCAGGGAAGCTGAGGCTTCTTCCAGCCACGGGGGTGTGAAGAGGAAGGAGTAAAGGAAAAAAGGAGAGACCAAGAGAGAGCTCAGCGCCTCCACACAGACACTTTCCCATCTCCAGGGCCACCTGCGGTCCCGGCCCAGGCCAGCTACCTCTGTCACCTCTGCGTCCAGAGGTGATCAGCCTCCCTGATCACTTGAGGTCAGGAGTTTGAGACCAGCGTGGCCAATGTGGTGAAACCGTGTCTCTACGGAAAATACAAAAATTAGCTGAGTGAGGTGGCAGGCGCCTGTAATCCCAGCTTCTTGGGAGGCTGAAGAAGGAGAATGTTTGAACTCAGGAGGCAGAGATTGCAGTGAGCCAAGATCATGCCATTGCCCTCCAGCCTGAGTGACTGCGCCCAGTCTGTCTTTCATATAAAAGCTGTGCTTGCTACCCAGCTAGGCTATAAATTAATAAATCCCCTGAACTTAGTCCAGTGCTCTACCTGGTCCAGCAATGATGATCACCTGCTGATAACCCTTCTGTGAAGGTGCCCAGGGTCCCTGCACATCCACCTTTATAATTATCAATGACATTAATGTAGATATATAAATACGTAGGCAATTAGTTTTGAATGCCTGTCACAGCAGCGTGTGACTTGCAGTTTCCACCGTGGACAGTCACAGTGTGGAGCTGGGGAAGGTCCGTGGAGGAAAGCTGATGTTTCAATGTCACCATCGCGAAGGAGGGTCTGGCCTTGGCAGCTTTCTCTCCGGGGGATCACTGTGCTGTGTCGGCCATCCCAGTGTCCAGCCCCCTTTGGTGAGTGAGCTGCATTTTAAAAATAAACTTTATTAACACAGACACGCATCACCCTGTCTTCGTAGGGGTGCTAAGGTCAAAACAGCATGTGACCATCCCCTCCAGTGGCCTGCTCTGTCCCCAGCACTGGGTCCTGGGTGAGGGGCGTGAGGTAGATGGAGGCAGAGCTGCTGTCTGTGCTCACGTTGGGGTCATCAGCTGAGCGTCTTCCTTGCTCTGCTAGGTGGGCAGTGACTGTACGAAGCCCTGGGGGATATAGGAAATGAGAGCAATGCCGGACAGCGAAGCCGGAAAGCCGGAGGCCTGAGCCACGCTGCGGGCACGGCCCTTCCGCACTCATGGAGGAGCTCCTTCGTGGAGAAGGCAGGCTTGAGTTGGGTTAGACCATTCGAAGAGCGAGTGTGAACTGCCAGGCACGAGGACCGAGGGTGGTTGAGCTGGCTTAATCTGGGCAGTGTAGAACACACTGGCAAGAACACAGCGCTCACCTGGAGGTGATCAGCTTCGGAAAGTTGGTAAATTAGGAAAAGCTTGGCCTCCAGCCACTCACTCCAGCCTCCACCCGGAGCATCAGCACAAAGTGGGTCCCACTGGCCACACAGAGCAAGCAAGAGTTGAATCACTGGGGCCCGAACCACTTCTAACAAGAAACGCTGCCATCACCACCCTGCGGTGCCCAGTAAATGGAGCAGAAGACCTGGAACCCAGCTGGGAAGTATCAAGCTCCCTCTGAGGGTCTACACGTGTCTAGCGGGTGGGCGGGGCAGCCGAGAGGAAGGGTCCGGGGCGTGGGGGCAGGAGGCTGGGCCTGTCCAGCAGCTTTCTCCAGGACCCCAGCTCTCCATTTGCTCTGGTATGTGGGCACTGCAGGGGAAATGAAGGCTGACGGAGACCACGGGAACTGATGACCACCAAGGAGGCAAGATGCCTCCATGGGGTCCCACAAGACACGTCTGTGACCCCCGACTCCACTGCCTCCACCCCAGAACCCCTGTGAGCCCCATGCACGTGCAGACACCATTGCACCCGTGGCTGAGCCAGGTACCAGTGCCCCTCTGCATGCACGTGGGCCACCCACCAGGGTGCGGAATGGACAACGGCTTCCTAGGATGGAAGAACGCTTCCCCCCACCCAGGTGAAGAGAGCCCCTCAGAAGGTCCTTGTGCACCGCGTGGGGCATGGCTGCCCTTCACAAGGACCACCAGACACGCACCCTTGTGTGGGCTTCGTACTCCTGTTCCACTCCCTCGGCCGGACCTCGGCACTCCATTGGCACTTCCCAGGTGTGTCACCCTCAGGCCACTGCATACCGGGCTCTGCCGCTGGGGGAGCCCAGGACAACGGTCCCTGATGTGCAGCATCCACAATTCACCCTGACCCAAGGGTCACTGGAAACACTTTTTTTTTTTTTTTAAGACAGAGTCTCACTCTGTCTCCCAGGCTGGGGTGCAATGGTTAGATCTCGGCTCACTGCAACCTCCATCTCCCCGCTTCAAGCAATTCTCTTGCCTCAACCTCCCAAGTAGCTGGAATTACAGGCGAGTGCCACCAAACCTGGCTAATTTTTATATTTTAAGTAGAGACGGGGTTTCACCATGTTGGCCAGGCTGGTTTCAAACTCCTGACCTCAGATGATCCACCCACCTCGGCCTCCCAAAGTGCTGGGATTACAGGCGTGAGCCACTGTGCCCAGCCTGCCTCTTCTTTGATGTTAATTGACTGTGATGGTTTGTCACTTGCAGTGACCTGATGAAGGGAACAGTAAGAGAAGACCTGAGGCCTCCAGGACAGAACAGGACTCGGGCAGAACAACCCAGCATGTAGTGTTCCGTATGCACATTTATTTATTTCAAAGATTGTTTGTGTTCCAGCCACATCTTCTCCAAAGGAGCCCACGCAGCCTGTGCACAGGCAAGGTGCAGGGCTGTCTTCGGTGTTTAAAGTGCTACTGAGGAATACAATCATTGTCACGAAAGTTCATCATTGCACTCCAGCGTCAGGCCAAACCTTTCCGCGGACCTGGAAAACCTGCCATTTTCTTCTTTATAAAATGCAGTTTTGACATAACATTGGTAAACAACAAACCAGAAGCCTAAATGATGCGTGGTGCGTTACTGCCCAGCTGCTAGCTGCGGGAACGGGGCAGTGGACTGTGTTTCAAATGTAAACGGTCATGGGCCCAGGGTAACCTGAGTTTGCCCTGCAGGATTCCGCAGGGGCCTTGCCCTGTGCAGGATGCTTTGGTCATCGTGTCTGGGTCAGTTTGGGGCAGTGGGGAGAGGGCCTGGCAGCAGGGTTTATGCCAGTCCGGAGGTCTGTTTCCATCTGACAGAGATAAATGTCCTGATTGCCACCGTCCACCAATTCGTACTCGGAAGTTTCCAGATTAAGAGTCGTGAGACTATTACCCAGGAAACACCAGCCTTTGGTGGCCAGCAGCGTAAATTGATCTTTCCCTCTCTGCTCAAAGAAACTCTGCAACTCTCATCTGTAGATGTGGCCAGTAAAACCCAAGCACAAACCTAAATGGGCACCAATTTGTTACTGAGTGGCCGCTGGCGAGTAGCTGTCATGAGGGATCAGGGCTGGTTTTGAACTGAGACTTGAAACTTGGTTAAAATAAAGTGCTCTATCAAAACTCTCACAGCAGGTTTTCAACTGGAACAAGGAGATGGCTACTTTTGTTATTGCTACAATAACACACACGTGTGTGCAGACGCACACACCACACACACACTTAAAGCTCCATTTCATTTCTCCACAAAGAACAGACACACCTCCTTAAACAAAGCAAACTGGGAAGGGCTGCCAGCTCATTAAAACCAACATGAGCACTCAGTTCCAGGGATGCAGACACAATTAACCTTAGTGTTCACAAGGAATCGCTTTTAAAACCCCACTCAACAAAACATTCACCCAAACACCAAAAACAAAAGCCCGCAAGCCACAGAAGCTTGTAGAAGAGGTGAGGCGATAAAGGTGATTTACACATCAGCATTTTTAGTATTTGGTGGATCATCTTAATTGATCTTTAACCTTCACAACACTTACTTTATCATAAATACCCTACACCGTGGGAAAACAAACCTGTATAAAATAGCTTGGAAAAGAAACATTCACAGTATCAACAGAGCCCGTTTTCTCGAGGTGCTACCCTGAAGCCAGCCTACGTGTTTCCTTGGCGAGTGCTTCAGCAACTTCCTGCTACATTGGTGTTTTCTGTGACTTCAGAAAAGGCCACTGGATGGAGACCACGTGAGCATGGAGACCACGTGAGCGTGTCTATGGGAAGCAGAACCCCAGACCTAGGTATTTGACAGTAAGCAGTGCTCATGGGATTCATCTGGAAATGGGATGGTTAAAAACTTTTTTGAGGGGAGCAAGAAGGCTTAATCTAAAATTCTGGGCCTGGCACAGTGGCTCACGCCTATAATCCCAGCGCTTTTGGAGGCCGAGGCAGGTGGATCACCTGAGGTCAGGAGTTTGAGACCAGCCTAACCGACTTGGAGAAATTCCATCTCTACTAAATATACATAAATTAGCCAGATGTGGTGGCGCAGGCCTGTAATCCCAGCTACTTGGGAGGCTGAGGCGGGAGAATTGCTTAAACCTGGGAGGTTGCAGTGAGCCACCATTGCACTCAAGCCTGGGCAACAGAGTGAAACCCGCCTCCAAAAATTTTTTTTTTTAATAAAAAAAGCTTCTGACATCCTCGCACTTGAATAGAGTGCGCCTGAATTCCAAAATCAAACACAAAGAACAATTAAAAACTTCTCATCAGTGTCTGAAATTCTGACACATAATCACATAATATCCTCTCGGAATTCTGTCTCAGGCTCTTTTTACCATGTGGCCCAGAGCGGTAAAACCTCAAGTAAAACATTCAAGTGAACATCTGTCCCAAAAGATTAGCAGTGGTGCCTGACTCTGGGGACAGAAACTGGGTAGTGTTCATATATTTTGCAACTCCAAGTGCTTTTAAAAAAAAAAAAAAAAATCATTAAAATTGGAATATAATTTTTAAAAACAAAGCAGGTTGTAAAAGTCATTTTAAAGTCAATTGATAATTCCTGGAACACCTAAGAAGTGTGTAATGTGCATCTTAAAGTGAAATTCCTAATCTAGTGTTCTAATCTCTCCCCCTAAAAGAAAAAAATCCTGTAATTTTGGTCTTTATATAGGTTTCTACTCACCAGAGGCTCTGTGACCTCTGAAATATTTAATGTTTAAGGATTAAAGAACGCCTGTGGAAGGAAGCTCTCCCATCTCCATCTCCAGGACAGAAGTCAAGTGTTCATAACAGCCTTTTACATCTCTTTGGAGAAAAGTGAATCACATTAAACTGTCAAAAACACTTCACCCCAGTGATGACTGCTCGTTCACCAGCACGTCTACTGGAAGTGGCACATTCGGAAGGAGCGGACCAAAGTGAAAACTGTGAATGAAGTGAAGTATAAAGGCAGCTGAGGAGGAAAGCGACTGGAACGATACCTAGGGACATTAAAACGGAGTGCCAGGTTCATCACGTTTTCTACCAAAACAACCCCAAACAAGGGCACCCCAAACTGTGTCCAAGAGTACTGCTGACAGCGAAATTCTGAAGTGCTCAGAGAAGGAATTTCCCCAAGTGTGGCCCATTTAAACTTCCATTCCTAAGACTGACACCTGAGACACAAAATAACTTCCTCTACTGCCCTAAAAGGACTTTGTTTTGGCTCCTGGCAGCATTTGGCAAAATCCATGTCTGTGTTTGGTTACTGTGTTCTACGAGCGGTCACGTATGGCTCCCGACTTCATTCGACAGGCCTGCTGTGCTCTTGTTTAGCAAGTATGACAAGCAGGAAAAAAAACCCTGGCTGTCAACTGCTCCACTAGTGTTATTAGAGCTTTTAACACAATAGAGAAAAATGTAAAAACTGTGTGAGAATATATGTATCTTCCACTTGCAAGTAGGCTCAAAGTAAACTTAGAAAAGTGTCCGCATACTGTGCATAGGATATAATGTTCGAGTTCTATGGCTAATATCGAAGGCAGATGTCTTCCTACATGTGCAACTGCATTCCCATTCCTATCATAATTTCTCTATAAAAATCCTGCCTATGTTCCACCTCCCTGTACTCAGGGCCAGCTGCGTGTTTTAGTCCAAGCAGCAGATGAGGACAGGTGACCCACCCATTCCATTCACAGTGACAGCACAGAAGGGCACCTCCTTTTTGTGACATGGTCCAGGCATGGGTCCAAAACAACACTCGTTAGTGTGTAAATAGGTAAACTGAGTCCCTCAAACCTGCCCTCCACAATCCATTTGAGTGTATTATTTCTCTTATAATGTTAATCTCCTTCTAATATTTAGCCCTGACTCTTAGCTTTGAGCACGGCCCAAGCTCTGGAGCTGTCAAGTCTCATTTGGCATCTGGTGGCAAGTTAGGCTTTTTCGCCCTCTTTGGGGAAAGCCTCCTGGCTGGAGACTCAGATTTTGTTTTCCCTTTAAAAGACTAGATGGTTGGAAGAAACCCAGCAAGACAAGCAGGGCATCTGGACACCTGGCGGACACTCGCTGTGTCCTGGTGAGGGTGGTAACATGGGTGCAGGTCTTCTGGCTTGGCGGTGGTGACCTCAGTCCCTACGTGCAGGGCTCCACGGGGGCACCGTTCATGGCGTTCTTGTTTCTGTGCCTGGAGAGCAGCTTCTTGTTCAGGATCTTGGTGATGGTGACCCCTTTCCTCCGGGAATGCTCTGGCTGCTCCAGGAACACAAGGTCATTGTGTGACTGACTCATGCCCGGGTCTTTCTGTTGATGCCGCCGGCGGAAGAACAGCTTAGCACCTTTCCTTAGAATTCCTCCTGGAAGAGGGAAGCACAGGGGCTGGTCAAGTGGGCAGGGGATGAGAGGCTGAATGACTGGTCCAATGGGACAAGGGAAGAAGGAGGCTCGAATGCCTTTAATGAAGGGCTGGTTTATTACTTCAATGTGCTGTCACTACCTGCAGGAGAACAACAACAGGAATGTGGCTTTTAGGAAACTAGAGTTTTCAAGAGGAAATGGAAAGATTATAACCGTAGAAGCAGTGAGCCTGGACTGTCGCTTGGTATCCATTTCCAAGGACGGTATTTATATTCCTAATTTTTCTTTTTTTTTCTTTTTTTTTTTTTGAGACAGAGTCTTGCTGTCACCTAGGCTGGAGTGCAGCGGCGCAATCTTGGCTCACTGCAACCTCCACCTCCCAGGTTCAAGCGATTCTCCCACCTCAGCCTCCCAAGTAGCTGGGATTACAGGTGTCTGCCACCACGCCCAGGTATTTTGGCCTCTATCCCTGATTTTTTATCAGACCAAATGGAGGCAGACAGCTGTTGCCTAGGTTGGGACACCGAGGACACCTGGGTCCCCTCTGTGCCACCCACTTCCCTTCATTAGGAAGGCTGTAAGTGGGAAAGCAGTACCGTGCCCCAGAAAGGATGGTCACACTCATAAAACCCAGCTAAGGACCCTGAGAACAATGGCATTCAGTGTCTTAGGAGTGTTAAATAATATGTGCTCTTCTGGGAATAATGTTTTATTAAAAAGCCACTCCAGATCCTATCATATCTATTAGGTTCTGCCATCTAAAGTTGGTTACTTGGGTATTTTTGGCCTACAAAATCTCAATTTTGTGTGATCCATTCATAGACAGATACAGATATCTATATCCGGTTACTTATCTGGATATAGTTATCTGTCAGGTAGTGGAATATGGAACAGAATAAAATTAGCAGCAGCAGCAACAATAATTTAAACAGCAATGATCCCTTAGAGGTCAAATGCAAGCTAATGTAGAGGGTGCAAGAGCCCACTAATTTGCTTTTTCACAAATGAGCTGAACATCCTGTTAACCGAGGCTGGCAAGGTCGCAGGAGTCAGCATCCGAGGCCAGCCTGTGAAATTCATTACCGCTTGCATGTAGGTGGTAATGACTTTGAAAGAACACAGGTCTGATCATCCTGAAGAGGAGCTTTATACTTAATGTGATAATTTATTCCCTTTGTGATTGGCACATCCAATAAACATTTGAATATCCTTGACATATGCAAACCGCCACCCACGTTGAGAAGGTTAGAGGAGGGGACGAAGAATATCCATTCCCTCTTCTAAATGAAATGCACACCAGCAATGGTGGCACCCGTGGACAGTCGGAGACGCCTGACCTAGACCTGCTGAGGACTCTGTATCATCAAAGCCTACTATGCGGAAAGCAGCGTGTGCCCGAGCCTGGCTTCAAGCATGAACTTCTGTGTCCTATCTGCTCTGCCCAGGTTACAGGACAGAAAATGGGAAGACGAAGAGCCGCAATGGGCTGAATTTAATTTGACCAAGCGGCGATAATTCTTTAAAAACTTTACTCTCTCGATACAACCACTTTTTATGACGTATCATTTGGACACGTTTCACAGTGATCTAGAGTTGGGGGCCTGTGCACAGGGGTTTCAGGGACTGCTGGAAAAGGAATGAAACAAGAGGGTAAGTGGGATAAACATGGAAACGACGTCACTCTTGTCTGCAGGCTTAATGGCTACACCTGTGGGACATCAGTGTCAGTTCCTGGAGTGACTCACATCCCTGAAAAATGCAGCACATCATGAAAAACCACCCGCAGCAGGGCGTGTTCCAACGGCTGAGGAATGACCCCCAACTGGACATGACTTTGGAGTTTGGCCAGTGGGGTTGGTGCAGTGGTGCCGAGGTGGCTCATTGCCTAGTATATGAGAGGCACCTGCTGGGGAAATGCCCTGGGCACAGTGATACGGGCTTCCAGGCAAAGGGACCCCAGCTGTCATGGGGCTCTGAGCCAACCAGGTGACCTGAGTTTGGGGGATGAGGGGGGCCCTCGGTGGCATTTCTGATCTATAAGCACCTGCCTTGAAGCTCTGCTTTAGGTTGATCTTGGAGGCCCTGAAGGGCATATGGACATGGGCTCTCAGGTGGAACAGGGGAGAGGAAGGGGTGGATCCATCAGCTTCACCTGGACTGCTCCAACGTCACCCTCTTCACTTCCCGGGGGAAATGGAGGCCTAGGGGAGGGACCACCAACCCATCCCCAGGGTCAATCGCAGGCCCAAGGACTCAGACCCTCCGGCAGTAAGAGGTTCTCTCCTGGTCCATCTCCAAAGTCCATTTCATAGGCATCCCTGCACTGAATCTGGCCTGGGGTCTGGATCCAGGCCTGAGGTATGAGCAGGGACAATGTCAGGGGCTGGACATTGCTCCCCAACCCCAACCAGATTCATATGTTCTAGTCCTAACCCCCAGTATTCACAGAATGTGACCTTATTTGGAGACGGGGTCTTTGGGAAGTCATGAAGTTAAACGAGATCATTGGAGTGGCCCCGATCCAATATGCCTGCTGTCCTATCAAAAGGGAAAATTCAGAAACAGAGGCAGACACACAGGGGAGGACACTGAAGAGTCACAGGAAGAATGCCATGTGAAGATGAAGGCAGAGTGCAGGGCGATGCTTCTACAAGCCAAGGAGTGCTAGAGGTTGTCAGCAGCCGTCAGGAGCTGGAGAGGCTCAGAAGGGGCCGGCCCTGCCAGCACCACCAGCTCAGACTTCCAGCCTCCAGAACTGGGAGAGAATTGACTCCTGGTGTTGAAAACACCGTTTGTGGTGCTGTGATGTAACCCTGGTGGGGGTGGGGGGGTGACATGCATTGGGCTCAAGGATCCAGGAACCCCCACCAGGTCTTCCTGTTGTCCTTAGAAGCCAGGCAGCCACGTGAAGGAGAGGACAGTGGAGCAGCATCCTCAGCTCCGAGCCCTTGAATCAGCCGGCCTCTACGAACTACAGGTGCGCAGTCCCTTTCTGGAGAATCTGACATGATGGGGGTCCAGGGACACCGAGCATGAGCATTTTTCAAAAGATCCCAGGTCTTTCAAACATGCAGCTGGGGTTACCCACTGCTAGCCCGGGTCCGGCCAAAATGCCACCAGTGATTAGAGCACATGGAGGTCACAGCCAGCAACGCAGGGTGGGCCAGGGCCGGCGACACAGGCCACGTGCCTGCTTTCCTGTGTGGCACTGCTCATGCTTCTTCACGCTTCACTCTGGGGGCCTGCAGGCCCCAGGGCTATGCCGGGAGAAGCTGATGAAGCCCACCCTCAGGCCCCGTGCCACGCCAGAGAAGCATGGTGTGCCCCGGTTAAGAGAGAAGTGAGGTAAGATGAGCAGGGCACGATTGTGCCCGAAAGACTTCCGAACAGGAATACGAGCCTGGCACGGTGACTTATGCCTGGAATCCCAGCACTTCAGCAGGCTGAGGTGTGGAGAATCCCTTGAGCCCAGGAATTGGAGACAAGCCTGGGCAACATAGCAAGACCCCATCTCTAATTTTAAAAAATAAAAAAATTAAAACTTTTTTTTAAAAAAAGAAATAAAATAGGATATGCACATTTTCAAGCAGTTATAACTCATGCAAGTGAAACTGTACTACAAGTGCCTAAAACTGGGAGGGGGAGGCAACTGCCTGAGCAAAAAAAAGATGCTAGACAAGAAAGATCCGCAGGGCATGTTTGTCTGCAACGTCCCTGCTGGCTCCAGTCTGTGTCTGTCCATACCCCGAGGGACCCACTGGTTTTACTGGCAGCTCCCTGCGCCTGCTTCCATGGGCCACACTCCACCCCAAGGGGCTGGTAACAAGATTATTTTCTGTTCTTCCATCTTCACTCACAATCTCCAGAGCACGTCAGCTGTTTTGTTAAATTTATTTTTTCTTTTTTTTGAGACGGAGTCTCGCTGTGTCGCCAGGCTGGAGTGCAGTGGCGCGATTTCGGCTCACTGCAACCTCCACCTCGCAGGCTCAGGCGACTTTTCTGCCTCAGCCTCCAGAGCAGCTGGGACTACAGGCGCACACCACCCACTACACCCGGCTAATTTTTGCATTTTTAGTAGAGACGGGGTTTCATCATATTGGCCAGGCTGGTCTCCAATTCCTGACCTTGTGATCCACCCGCCTCGGCCTCCCAAAGTGCTGGGATTACAGGTGTGAGTCACCCCACCCAGCCTGTTCTGTTAAATTTCATAGTTCAACATCAGTGCCAGAAACCAGATTGTGCTGTATGTGCCCATGTGCAAATCTTCCCGAAATCATTTTTGTGACTTGCACACTTTCTCTAGCCTGATGATTTGCCATGGCTTCTGGGGGATGGCATCAACTTCTACAGAGGATGGTCACGTGGGGGTGGGACTGAGGTCTGCAGTCTGGAGACTGGACCCTCAGTTATGCCCCAGCCGCCTCTGAGGAAGGGGGCCTGGTTCCTACCATTTTTAGGTTGCTTCTGGTCACTGTTTTCCCACCTATGGGATTTTAAAACAGATTCCTTAATTAGCTATTTATGTCTGCTAGACTCCGTAGGGACAGATGGGAAAGCTAAGGTTTGGAGGGGCAGTGGTCTGGGGTCACACGCTGACGGGGGCAGGTGTGTAACACTAGGCTTTCTGGCTCTGAAGTCCATGTTCTCAGGCCCCGCTCTTCCGTGCTGCTCAGGACGTCTGAGAAGTGGCCAGCCAAGTGTCTGGGGAAATGGGCACGTCTGTGGTCCCTGGGGAGGAGCCTACAGAGAGGGTGGATACACCAAAGCCCCTGGGGTCTCACGGAGCAAAGCCCCCTAATCCGGCAAGGACTCAGGCGGGATTCCCAGAACGAGCTGCATCTCCAGAGGCATGCAGGGGCGGGGGAGGAGGGGATCCCAGCCATGCTGACTCACCTCAGGCAACGTGTGACTCATCAGCCATGAAGGACCACCACGCGGACAGAGGTCATTCCATTCCCTTTCTCAATAGCACCTGGAAAGCCTGTCTCAACTTGGAAGCAGACTGTCCACCACTACCTTTGGGGTAAACATTGCAGGAAGAACACGACCCCCGATTTGCCACTGCACACTAAATAGCCGCCCCACAGTGGCTGTGAGGGTCGGAGCCGACACGGGAGCACGCTCCTGTCTCCTGGGCACTGACCCCATATGGAATGTACTTGTCTGCCCACCTCGACGAGCAATGCCTGGAAGGCGTTGCTGTGTCAACCTGGCTGCAGCCCCCAGAGATGCAATAGAACAAGAACTGAGGAGTGGTTGGGAGGGCACTGTGCAGATGTGGGGAACAACTCCACCAGCAGACTTTAAGTAAAGGAGATTATCCTGGAGAATGTGGGTGGGCCTCGTCCAATCAGCTGAAGGCCCTAAGAGCAAACACTGGTTTTCCAGGGAGGAAGAAATTCTGGAGCATCAGCTCTTGCAGGGGTCTCTAGCCTGCCGCCTGCACTGTAGATTTCAGACCTGTCCGCCCCCACAGTCATGTGAGTCAGTTCCTTAAATATGTAACCTATGGCTTCTGCTTCTCTGGAGGACCCTGACTGACCCAGTAACTGATGGGAGGGTATGCTGCACTTGACTTTGAGACTGCAGAACCTGATGCCCTTTGCTGACAGCGAAGTTCACACCACAGGCAAGAACAGCCAGGGCCATGTTGATTTCATGAAGACTGTCTACCTGATTCTGGGCTCCCTTCTCTATGCCAACAGCAAGAAGCAAGATTTGGACCTCACCTACAACCTTCAAGATTCCTCAAGACAATTTGGGGAGAGGTGATGTGAAATTTGAAGCAAGTAACCAAGATTTTAAATGGGGGACAGGGAGAAGAAAAGTCTTTCCCTGGTTCTCACAAGGTTCAAAACACAAATCATAAAAAGGCTGAAGCATAAACAAATACACAAAAGAATTTTAACATAATTAATCTAAATTATAGCTCTAATGTCATAAATATTTCCACATTTATTCCTATTTGTTTCTACTGGGTCTAACAGATATAAATAGCTAATTGAAGCATCTGTCGTAATATTCAGCAGATACGAAAACAATGACCAGAAAAAAAAATTGTCTTTGGCCTCCCAAATACAGCTTCAGATTTCAACTGGACCCACAGATGCTCCATTAATAGACATGACTACTTTTTAGATCTGGAGGAGGACGAAGGGAACCAGCCTCTTCCTGTGGGGCCACAGTGAGGTTGCTTGGTCACGTCAGGTATCAGAGCGAGCGCCCTCACCTGAGAGGTGCTGCACAACCTCGGCCAGAGCACTTTCAGGAGGAGCGCGGGGAACTAGCAACCTAGGAAGGTAAAGGCGGAGAGGGGAGGGAGCGCAAGGCAGGCAGGCCGGCTGGCTACAGGCTGCACTCCTAGGATGGCTACATGTAATTGAAAAAAATAAGACGAAAATAACTTACTGTGCAGGCAATTAATTCTGGTTGGCATAGCGATCCTCTTAAGTTAAGGGGAATGAGCAGGAGATGAAGAGAAGAGGCAGAATTATGCAAGAGCAACATCAGAGTGGACGTGGGCAAGGGTTCCGAGCTGCCTAATCACACGCACACGGGAAGTCACTGTGCGGGACATTTGGTGACCCGTCTAATCACATGCACACGGGAAGTCACTGTGCGGGACATTTGGTGACCCGTCTAATCACACGCACACGGGAAGTCACTGTGCGGGACATTTGGTGACCCGTCTAATCACACGCACACGGGAAGTCACTGTGCGGGACATTTGGTGACCCGTCTAATCACACGCACACGGGAAGTCACTGTGCGGGACATTTGGCAAGGTTTTCTACTGTTCAGTTTGGTTTTTTTTTCCCAAAACCTCCCTTGAAACTTTTGTCCTTACTTGCGGTAATATAATTTACCCTTGTAACCATTTCTAGCTACACGGTTCAGTGGTGCTGAGTATCCACAACAGTGGCCAACTTCATTGATCTTTTTGTAAACTAAAAGTAGATCAGAATTTGGGGACTACATTTCCTGTGTTGGCTGCAGCATCACAATATGTCCATTTCCAACCAGCAGAACCTCCCTGAGAGTTCTAAATACACAGACACTCTCAGAAACCTAATACAAACTCCTCAGGCAGAAGATACAAACAGTTCTTAAACAAACAAACAAACAAACAAACAAACAAACAAAATCTTTAGTTTTTAAAAAAGACACCCTCTATTACCAGTTTTGAGAAATGTTTGGTCAAAAAATGAAAATTATTTGGTACCCATAACACAGAATCTCTCAGGCTGTGACAACATCTCACAGAGATGCTGAGTATGAGTCTCTTAAAAAAACACTGGAAGGAAAAATTTTAAACCGCTGCCAAGTATGTCCTGTTAAAAAACCTTTGGTCAATGCAGTACAGACGCAGGGCCAGATGAACTGCATAGCTGAGCCTCTCTGCTGCCTTCCCAAAAGCCAAGCCTCGGGGAGCTCCGCGCAGGCGGTGCGGGCAGCCAGCCCCAGCTCCCAGCACACCTGCCTAACACCCAGTCCTGAAACAGTTGGGAGGACCCTTCATCCACCTGGCCCGTGAAGGGAGAGGAGCAGGGTGGCTGACACAGCGAGGATGGAAACCCAGCGAAAGGCCTCGCCAGGAGGGAAAGCAGACAGAGGAAGGAGGAAGGGCTGGGTGAAGGAACACAAATCTTGGCATGAGCAGGGTGAGCGAGGCTTGGCATTTCAGAAGGAATGAGGAGGGCAGATGTGGGGCTGGGTGCTGCCAGGACAAGAGGAAATGGGCCACTGAGTCAGGGAAGGGAGAGGAGGAGACATCCCACCCTGCACCCTGTGGGTCCCACCTCGCCCAGCACTCACCATCTCCAAGACAAAGAATAGGCCTCAGGTGTGCAGGTCAGGTGACCAGGTCACCTTTGACATAACCCAAGCCAAGGCCTCTTAACAGGAGCACAGGAGCCTGTCACAGAGGTCAGCGTGCAGCTTATGGCCCCCAAGTGCTCTGTGGATGGGGGCTCAGGCAGAAAGCACCCCAAGGCCAGGCAGTGGGCAAACGGAGGCCAAGGGGTCTGACATCTCACCCAGGAATTTCCTCCTTCTCCCTTTCCTCTCCTGACTTTCCATTTTCCCCACATCTATCCTGACGACACTGGCAAAGAGGGTGGGAGAGGGTGGCCACGGTGTACCATGGCTGAGGGACACAAAGCAAGGACAGGGAGAGAGGGGACGAGGACAGATGCAGAGAGTCTAGCAAACAGCAGGCTGTCAGATTTGGAACCAGGGACATTTGGGACCAGAGCGTCCTGCACTTTGAGGCTGCCTTGTGGGGTGTGTCCTGTGCCGGGCAGGGTGTTGAGTGACATCCCTGGCCTCCATTCACTGGACGCCAGCTACACCCCAGCCTCCCAGTTGTCACAGCTAAAGTGTCTCCAGACACTGCCAATATCCCCTGGAGGAGAAGTGCTGGTTTGAGAACCAGTGGTGTGTGGCATCAAGAACAGAGGGCAAGAGAGGCAGTGACAGCAGCGCTCACCACCGCGCCCCCCAGGAGCCCCTGAGATTTCCCGACAGACGGTCTTAGGACATCCTGAGATTTCTGCTGAGAGGCTTGGAGCCCACACAGGGGCCAGAGCCAGGAGTTAACGCCGAGTGTCACCTGAGCTCATGGCTTGGCTTTGGCGCCTGCTCCGCCCCAGTCCTGTCTTCTGCACTGAGATGTCCTTTTGCCCCCTGAATGGTGGAGTCAGGTGGGCGCAGGCAGCGGACATGTTCTTTCTGATGGAGGACGCGGAGGCCCGGTGAGTCTCACATCTGGAACTGACTCCAAGCTCCTGGACTACATGCCCTTAGCAAATACATTCAGGTTACTTACGCCAAGGTGCTATCTCGGCAAATCTGCACACGCTTAAGGAATGTCTAGTTTTAAAGCCCTGACTCGGGGCGGATGGAAATATTCAGCACTAATGAAAGGCTCACCTCCTCACCACCCACATACTAAGTTAATCGATTCATGATTCCCGGGACTTCTCTCCCTGTAGAGCCTCCTAGAGTCAAGTGGTGAGGTCTGGTTTGTTTTAGGTGCAGGGGAGAGTCAGAGAGGCCCAAAGGAGCAGAGATGCCCAAATCCACAGTGGAAGGTGCCCTGGGCTCTGCCTGGCTTTGCTCTGAGTCTCTGTGGCCCCTTCATAGTGTAGGGCTCCTGGTGACCCCTGGGGAAGCCAGGAGGAGCGAGCCTGGACTGAGGAAGGGGCCTCTAGGCAGGGACACACACTGGCCCCAAATGCAGAGAGGACCCCGACTCTCACACAGAAGGACCTGCAGACACCCCTGTGGGCTCAACCATTCAGCACGGGGCGTTGCTGGCCGGGCAGCGGGTGAGGTTGGGAGGGAGCTTGCAGGGGACAAAGGGAAGGAAAGCAGATGACTTCAGCTTGGAAGCCAGCATGAGCTAGAAGCCACCAAGTGGGGGGCCTGGGGTGGGGGGCTCGGGCACAGGTACCTTTATGCTTTTTGGCGGCACCCGGCTCCGAGACACTCAGGGAGCTCTCTGACAGCTCATCACCGTCTGGGTCCAGCAGGGCTGGGCCGCTCCAGGCCGCGGCCTGGGGCTCCTTCTCCAAGTCCCAGGAGTCTAGCTCGTCCTCCTGGGGATTGGGGTCAGAGGGTGCCTGGGCTGACTCGGCTTCCTCCAGCGGGGCAGAGGCTGTGGCTGCCTCCGGATGGGACGGGGCGTCCTCCCGGTGGGCACTGTCCACGGAGGCTGCATAGTCCTGCATCAGGGCAGCATCATGGTCCTGGGACAGTGAGGTCTGTCAGGGCGATGAGGAAGACAAGGGTTACACGAAAGGAAGGGAGGGTTTCAAAACACCTCCAAACATTCTGACAGCTGGTTTCAAAGTCTCAGAAGACACCGCAGCGGGCCTCAGAGAAGGCGCTCACACATCATGGCCGTTGCTCCCTTACGGCCGGGACCACAGCCCCTGGGCAGCCGGCGGGTGGCCCCCGGGACTCAGAGGTTAACCCTCTTCCTCCCACAGATGGGCTAGTGCTGGGAGCATTTGTGGCATCCGTGGAAACCAGACGTGAGAGAGAGCCCGTCCTTCAAAGTCCACGACAGCACAAAGGAAGTGGCTGGGGGTGTTTCGGGTTTTGTTTTGTTTGTTCCCATGCTCGTTTATGTTACCTGCAAGTCAAAATTCACCAGTGCATCCTTTCAAAAATTATATTTTATGTAAAAATATTTCAGCACTAAATTAACCTCTGAGAGTCGGGCTAGCTTTTCCTAGGAGCGGGGGAAAGTTCGGGAAGGAGGGCACGAAGGCTTCCCGGGGGCCAGTCACACTGTCCGTGGGGTGGGTGGCAGTGGCACAGGTGTTTGCTCAGGGACCACGGTGCTGCTCTGACTTAAGTGCCAGCCTGTCATCTGAGCATCAACAAAAACAATCACCGCAGTGGACTCAGAACATTAAGTACTAGGATCCAGGAGCTCCTCGTGATTTTTAAATACAATCTTAGAAGAGGTATAGGGGAGATGACCACGGGTCTTGTCCTTACGTGCTCATTCACTCACCCAAGACTGAAGAAAACCCAACTACTGGGCCCTGGACTTGCAGAGAGGCCCCTGGAGGTGTGCTCAGGAAGCCCTAAAAACATCACCCACCTGCCTCAGGGACGTGGGGCAAGGCCACCCTCTGGGTGCAATGGCAAGGCTGATGACTCATCTCTGGCACCCCGAGGTCCTGTTCTGGCCCGTCTTCCAGCCACTGAGGAATTCATCCTTCCGCGTGTGCCCTCTGGCCCACCCTCCCACTCTTTTGCCCAAAATTCTTCCTCATCCTCCCTTACTCCAAACCAAAATCTCCCAACCCTCCCTCCAACTGTTCTTTTGGAAATGTCAAAAAAGAGTACGAGCTGGGAGCAGTGGCTCACGCCCATCATCCCAACACTTTGGAAGGCAGAGGTAGATGGATCACTGGAGCCCAGGAGTTCAAGACCAGCCTAGGCAATGTGGTGAAACCCCATCTCCACCCAAAATACAAAAATTAGCCAGTCTCAAAACAAGTTAGCTGGTCTCAAAATAAACAAATACATAGATAAAATTTTTTTAAATTCAAAAAAGTAATAAAACAAGTACGGATCTGTAACATGGCCCTTCACCCGAAGGCTGGCCTCTCTGCAGCCTGGACCACACGCCCGCCGCCACCTGCTGAGCAGACATCACAGAGCGGGAGAAGGGGAAGAAAGGGGGTGTGATGTCCATGCAGGACATTACAGTCTTTGTTTCTTTGATCACAAAAGGAATAAACATTCAGGTCAAAAAAGTAAAAGGCTTTGGAAACACATCACGTGGAAAGTGAAAGTTCCTGTGACTGGGTGGTGAAGAGGGTAGAGTTTCTGCACCAAAGGGGGGTCTTACGTCATATTCCTCTCTTTCTAGAATTATTCTTTAAATGTTTCACCAGCCTCTCAACATGTAAAGCATCCCTGATTACAAACTCTCGAGTCTCCGTGGTGAACAGCATAAACCGTGTAAACACAATACCACACATGACTCCTTTGTTGGGTGAGGAATATAATTTGACATTTGCAAATGGAACTATCTGGACGTTTTAAACTTCCTCAAAGCGGGGAGGAGCAGCAGGTCACTGACAGATGCAAACACCTCCCCAGCCACCACGGTGGTACCTTGGAGATCCCTGATATGATAATAGTGCTTTTCTTCCTTGGCGACTTGAGTTTCAGCTTTGAAGATTCGCTGAGTTGTCGAATGGCAACTTCAGCCACTGGATCCGAACCATTCAACACCAACAATTCTGCCAGAGGGAAGGTAGTGTTAAAGTCATCAGCAAAAATTAAAAACTTCTATGGAAAACGGAAATGGCCGATAAGCAATGGTTAGCAGGCATTTTCTAAAAAGGGCCAAACAGTAATCGTTTAGGCTTTGTAGGTGGTCTCGCAACAACTTCTCAATGCCGCTTTTGTAGAGTGAAACCAGCTAGAGACCACAGGTAAATAAATGAGCATGGCTGGGTTTCAATAAAACTTTATTTACAAAAACAAGTCATGGGCCAGATTTTTCCCATGGGCCACAGTTTGCTGTTTGCTGACCCTTGGTCTACAGCTTGATTCCCTGTGGTTACAAGATACTCACTGAAGTGTCTGCTTAAGATTCACCCATTTTATTTATTTAAGTTATAGCTGAATAGAGTTGATGGAAAACAGCAAAAGCAAGCAAGCAAACAACAACAACAAAATCTAACCCTCTGGAAGATTTTGAACTTTGAAAGGCTAGGTAGTGACTCCTTTTCCCTCCCAAGAGTGGCTAAACACACAGAATAGTAACTAGAGCTAGGAAGGTCCAGTTCATAAAAGCAGCTCATTCCCCAGGTTAATAACAATGCACACCAGCCAACATCAACAGAATGCTTACGGCGACCCAGGTGCTGTTTAGAGAGCTGTGTGCACATCCTCTCATTTACTCCTGCTCCACACCCCACGAGCAGGAACTGCTTTCTGTCCCATTTGACAACTGAGGAGGATGTCCCTCAGCCAGGAGGCCCCACAGCTGAGACCACCAGCAGGTCTCTCTGACTCAGAGCTGATGCTTATAACTTACACTGTCTTGCTCAGGTAAAGTCAAAATGACAAAGCTATTAACGCAGCAGGATGGTAAAAGGAACTTCTCCTGTCACAGTTTGGCCATGGCCTGATGCTTACAGATGCTGTATTTCCAAAGGGAGTCAAGAGAAGACCACAGTGGCCAAGAACCAGTGACAAGTGACCCTGGGAAACAACAGATACTTGGTCTTCCTCCCTGGTTCCTAGCACAGAGAACAAAAAATCTTTTAGAATTCCAGAGCCACTGAGCTGAGGCAATCTTTCCTACTCATCATAAGCCCCTGCGCCCCACCAGAGTGCATGCTCATGAGGATGGGCACTGGATGTCAGAGACTCCAGCCCTGTGGGTAGAAGGTGGAGCTTTCTGCCCTCTCTCACCTGTGGAGAAGGGAAAGGGGCTAGAGATTGAGTTCAATTTACCAACGACCAATACGTGACTCAATCATGCCTACAAATCTACATATAGAAGCACCATAAAACCCCTAAATGGCAGGTTCAGGAGTGTCCAGCTTGTGAATCAACACATGCACGCACCGAGAGAGCAGCAGCTCCATGGACACCAAGCTCCTAAGCTCAGGGCCCTTCCAGACCGCGCCCCGTGCCCTCTTCATCTGGCTGTGCACTGGTGTGATAATGGACCGTAAACCCAAGTCAAGTGTTTCCCTGAGTTCTATGGGCCATTACAGCAAACAGTGGAACCTGCGGAGGGTATCGTGGAAACCCCAATGTGTAGCCAAGTGGGACAAAACTGTGGGAACCTAGGGACCCACTATTTGCGCCTGCCGTCTAAAGTGGGACGGTGGTTTTGTGGGGCTAAGCCTTTAACCTGTGGGATCTCAGCTAACTCCAGGTAGCACCAGGATTGAATTAAATTGTAGGACACCCAGTTGTCTCTGCAGAGAAACAGAAAATTGCCTGCCGTAGAGAATCTACGCATTTGGTGTCCTGAGTGGTGTGAGCAGAGAACGGATTTCCGTTTAGCTACTGACCCACACTGAGAAGAGAGAATTGCTGAAGGAAGAAGTTGGGAGGACTCCTTAGGAGAAAGCTGTGCTGTAGCTCCCAGAGCCGCCAAGGGAGAGGCGTCGGGATTGCGTCCTCCTCATGCCAAGCCCAGTGCTTCTCTTCAGTCCCCCGAGAGCCCGGTCCAGGTGCTACGTGCTGCAGCTACAGCGCCTGGCTGCACCGTGGTGGGTGGGCCTGGGGCTGGCTCTGTGGTCCCAGAACCCACAGTGGGAACATCAGCCCGGGGTTTTTAAGACAGGATCCTGCGGCGTGGGCAGTGGGGGCACTGCCAGTGGAAGAAACTCAGGAAGGGGCATCAGGAGCAGCGGCCAAGGCGTCAGAGGCATTAGCACCACAGCGGCTCCATCTCAAATAAGTGCTGGGCAAAATGAGGCTGGGCCCTCCTGGGCTGCATTCCCAGGAGCTGAGGCGTCCTGACTCACAGAGTGAGCTTGGAGGTCGGCACAAGACACAGGCCACAAGGACCCTGCTGATGAAACGGTGCGGTAAAGCAGCAGGCCGAAACCAGACAAAACCAGCCAAAACCAAGATGGCCACGAAAGTGACCTCTGGCTGTCCTCACTGCTGATGATATGCTAATTATATTTTAATTATACGCTAATTATCATACATTAGCATGCTGAAAGACACTCCCACAAGCACCAGGACAGTTTACAAATGCCATGGCAATGGCAAGAAGTTACCTCACATGGTCTAAAAAGGAGAAGAACGCTCAGTTCTGAGAAATCCCCACCCCTTTGCTAGAAAACTCATTAATAATCCACCCCTTGATTAGCATACGATCAAGAAATCACCATAAAGATAACCAATCCGCAGCCCTCAGGGCTCTCTGCCCACAGAGTAGCCGTCATTTTATTCCTTTACTTTCCTTTTTTTTTTTTTTTTTTTTTTTTTTTTT